TTTCGACGTGCGGTCGGAGTAGATCCGGCAATAATTGACGTTTTCGGGATGATCAACGAGGAAAGATTCTGGAGAAGCATTATACAACGCTACCCATGGCGCTATGCACAGAAGCTTGGTCTATCGCTAGTCATTCTCGCTCTCTTCATAATAGCTTATGGAGCGGACATGCATCGCATGAACCCTGGATCGACAGACTGGACAACGGTCCTTCCGATTCGATTTGGTATAATGCTAGCCATTATCCTCAAACTGGCAGGCCTCGTCCTCTGCATGGGATGGCATGTATTCAAAGATATAAAGACAGGCGATACAGAAAATCAAGAAGAATTAGGACCTCATAGGACTTACAATGTCTCGACGTTGGGTTCCCTGAATGTCACAACCTTCGCCAACCCCTTCACTCATCCATACTTGAGCGCTGTTCCTCCTACAGTATGTACTGGTTGTACATTGTATGGTGCTTTCGGTTTCTCGGGCGTACTTACTCCTGGCGGGCCGATGGCTGTACGCCCTTTCGTATCATTGGCAATCGCTACTTGCCTGAACATTTTTCTAGTTGTCTTCGAATTCATGTACAATTACAAAAACCGTGTTTCCGCCATGCAGGAAAGAATGACTGAGATCAATATGCGCTTAGGAACGGATAGCGACAGGTCTGGAAATGTGGAAGAAAGGACTCAGCACTCGCGCACGACCTGACTTGTATCGCTATGGAGTCAAGGGAGGCCATGCTGGACTTCGCGAATAACTGTGGATCGTCTGCGCACTGATCAAATGGTCATGAAGAAGCAGAGTACTTCTACTCTTACCAGAGCGAAGAAGGCGGACAATTCAGAGTAGTCATCCGCTCATTTAAGATAATCAGCCTCTTTTTCGATAGACTTTTAACTAAACGCTATGCCACATCATCGTTTGGTTCCAACGTGAACATCATCCGAGGGTGTAAACTGAGTGACCCTCATAGATAGACATGAAGAAGACGCTCGACGGGGGCATATCATGGGAAGTACACAAAACAGGGACCAGATTGAGCAAACATCTAGTGATGCCCAACTAAGCACAGTTAGACAAACTCGGTGAGAACTCAAGTATTCCCCGCGACCTACTTAGAGAAGGTAGTATAGTACAACTCCAGATCTGCGAAAGCAGACACGTCGCAGACGTACGCTTGGATGCTTGCAGAAGCCTCGGCCGAGCTCCATCTCAGCACGCTAGCTGTCATCGCGCGCTGTAGCCCGCACCCGCCGAGAGCGTACATCGCTTTCGTTTTGGCCTGCCTATGCGTGAAACTTAAAGGATGATTTTCATGGCTGGAGTTCTTAGTTGGAGTTTCATTGCCAATGTTTAGACTTTGTCACGATGTGCGACGTGAGGGGCAGTACCCGATGTCGACACCGAATGGCAATCACCCCGCACGCCCGCACGTCCGGTGCCGCAGATCATGTACCGGTATATAGATGTACCAAAAGTACATACCGACAGCACCTACTGTGTTGCCGAATACGCGAAGCACTTCTTCTGTAAACCCGTACCACTATAATATCTCACCATGCCGCTGCCCACTGAAGTCGTCCAAAACCTGAAGCAGACCGTCGATGCAGCCTGCGCGGATCCAAAGACATCTATCCCAGGAACTAGCGTCGTTGTTGTAGGGAAAGATGGCGAAGAACTCTTTGCACACGCCGCTGGTCAACGTGGTGTTGCAAGCAACGAGAATATGACTCTCGACAACGTGTTTTGGATTGCATCTTGCACTAAGATGATCGCCGGGCTGGCCTGCATGCAGCTTGTTGAGCAAGGACAGCTACAGCTAGATGATGGGGATGAGTTAGAGAGGTTGGTTCCGGAGCTGAAAGAGACGAAAGTATTGCAAAAGGATGGTAGCCTGGTGGACAAGAAGAGGAAGATAACACTGAGAATGCTCTTGACACATACCGGTACGAGGCCGTCCTCGCAAAGTTGAATCATCTCGCTAATAATAACCTCCAGCTGGCTTTGGCTATACATTCTTCAACGAATCTCTGTGTGCCGTATTGGACGGGTTTGATGAGTTCTCCGGGGACGTCAAGGACATACTTCAACCGCTGACTTTTCAACCGGGCGAGGGCTGGCAGTACGGCGTAAACATCGACTTCGCTGGCCTGGCTCTCGAACGCAAGACTGGCATATCGCTAAACGACTACTGCCTGAAGAACATCTACGAACCGCTAGGGTTGAAGAACATAACCATGTTCCCCAACGAGGATATGAAGAAGCGGCTGGCGTCCATGCATCAACGAAACCAAGATGGCAGCTTGGTCGAGCGAGACCATCTACTCCTCAAGCCCTTGAAAGCTTCGAGCAACGAGATTGGCGGTATCCTGAACAGCGGAGGCGCAGGTGCTTTCGCAACACCATCAGACTATGCGCGTAAGTTGCCCATAAAGCAATGTGTATACGACACCACTGACAGAGTTTAAGAAATCATCGCAACGCTCCTCAACGACGGCAAGTCGGCCAAGACCGGCGTCCAACTCCTCAAGAAAGAGACGGTAGACCTCATGTTCACGAATCAGATATCACAGTTCCCCGACTTTGGTCGTCAGGGAATCCCAGCGGCCAAGCCTGACCTCACAAACGCTATTCCAGACATATACCCAGTGGAGGGTAAGCCTCCTCAAGGCTGGGGTCTGACGTTCATGCTGTCCAACGGAGGCCCGACTGGTCGGTCCAAGAGTACTGGGTTCTGGGCTGGGCTCCCGAACTGCTGGTGGTGGTGTGACAGAGAGAAGGGAGTCGGCGGGATCGTTTGCAGTCAGATCCTGCCGTTTGGCGATCCCAAAGTGCTTGGATTGTGGTTCGACGTTGAGACGCAGATCTACAAAGCCTTGGGGGCTTGATCGTATGTCATGTTGGGTGTCTCTGCTTATGCAGTCGGTCCGTTTTGTTTTGTCGGATTCGGCCGGATGGACGTGATCGTCATTGTCTTCATATCGAAACTCGCGTCAAATTGCACCCTGAGGACCGGCCGATCTCCTTGCTCTCTTGGTGTACTCTTTGAGAAACGTCAAAACCGTAATGTTGGGTCGAGAAACCTTGAGTTGTGCTATGAGTGTAGTGCACATCACACCCCCACATCTTTTTAGCGTTATGTGTGCCATACAGGGTTGCATATGGGCGAGAGATAAGCCGTGAACGGATATGGCGCATGAACATGTAAAGAACTTGTCGTTTGAACTGCGATTCGAGTGGTCTTTCGTGCTGGCTGAGACGTTGAAACCCGTCCGTGGCTGCCTGTGTGGGCCGATCCGATGCTCGTTCTCCGTAAGTAGCCTGCCTCGAAAGTTTCGGAACAGTCCGATCGCCATTCGAGGGACCAATTATAACAAGGATGGCTGCAGGCTCAGAGAATAGTGCCTAGGTGAGACCGAGCGTCCGGTACAAGCTGTCCCGTGAGCTGTCTGGATGCCGTTACAATGGAAGAGGCAGTGCTTCCTTTGGGGAGAAACAGGCATCTCAAGACAAGGAACATATGATAGAATAGCTTCGATCGACAGAAACGGCCGTGCAGCATCCATAATCGTCAGTGATGAGCCGGACTGAAGCTTGCGTTGAGCATCGTTGTGCCCTGCCACGCGTTAGCTTTCCCCGCATTTCTGTGTTGGGATGTGGGTCCTAGCCGGCGACGCGGGGTGTGCATATCTGCAACGCACTTGCCTCTTTGCATAAGCAGACCTCTCGTGCTTTTCCCTCTTTTCGACTGACAATCCGAGCAGCAGCCATGAACTTCGTGGACGTGCAACCAAAGTCGTTCCTCGATTATGCCTGGACGTCGCCATCTTCGGGGGCGATGGCAGCCACCAAACCGTCCAAAACGAGTCGGAAACAGAACAGATGCTGCGACCAATGTCGAAAAGGGAAAAGAGCGTGCGACGCCGCAATTCTAGAAGACACTCTTTTAGAAACGAGCAAATCTGGAGCAACCCCTACGGTGTTCCATTATAGTGGTAAGTCATGCCTTCGTCGATGGTACCTAACGCGCAAGCTAACCTGTCAGACGTTTATGGGCCGCTAGCATCGTGCGGTAATTGTGAGAAGACAAAAAAGAGCTGCACATTCGAATGGCTGCGCTCACAACGCGTATCGCAAGCTGCGCAACCAGTGTCGACAACTTCACCGCCAGCGAAAAGGCGCCGCACAAGAAGCAATTCGACCAGCCGAGCACAGAAGCCAAACCTATCGTGCCAATCCAGCGCAACCGTGAAACTGAAAGAAGACCGGCATCCGCACGGCGATGGCCTTCTGTCCCATACCACGCCCGTGGAACTGGGCGTGACGTTTGCAGATTTTCCGTGTGGCTCATCCATGTTCACCACCGATCCTACAATCGCATTCTTTGAAGAACCATCGCAAGTATTCGAGAAAGAAGGGACCGGAGATGAACCAGAACTCGCTGGAGGGCTTGCCGAAGAAAGCTGGACTATACTCGGTTGCGACTCTGGCAGAGGCTCGTCTCTGAAGACAACATCGGAGATCAGCGATGATAAGCTCGAACGCGACAGCCCCTCTGAGAGTCAGGACACCAGCAGCATAAGTCCAAGTAATCCGCCTTCTACCATATCGGATGGAACGATCGCTCGTACTAGTCTCAAACGGCGACGCTCTAGCTCCTCAGCATCAATCTCAAACGGTGCGCAACCTTACCCAGTGATATCATATGCCAGCGATCTTCTTTCATCAAGCAACAATGCGTATCTGACTGAAAGCCTGCTGAGGATCTATCATGATAGTTTCGAAAACGCACTTGCATGCTGGGTCACAGAAAGAACCTGTCCCTACAGTGCAAAATCGGATAACCTGCTAGCCACAAACGCTAAGCCTGATTGGAATCGAATCTATCACAGAGTGGTGCGCCTCGATAGGCTAGCTTCAGCCATCAGAGGGCGCAAGCTTACTCAAACGGAAGACCGCGCAGCATCTAGAGCTCTAGACTTGGCGGTCTTTTCCTTCGCTTCACAATGGGCACAGTCCAGTCCCAGAAGCAGAACGAAGTACCCGTTCCACAGCACCTCGACCGATGGTGGCAGTAGCGTCTTTGATAGTATCGAGGACGAATGCGCACCGGCTGGCGTGAACTTTGATCGTACCCTGCAGATATCAGCGTGGCATGAGGCCCGCAATGCACTGCAAAAAGCCGGTGAAGTGGAGTCCTTCCGGGTGGTACTTGCACAGATCATTTTCGCCCTGACACAACGGCCTGTGGAGGCAGACGGGGCTCAGGATGAGCAGAACGCTCTTTCGAAGACCGAACTACTGGCGACCGACGCCTGCACGGAAGTCCCGATGGAACAGACCCCTATGCTTTCGACCGATCAGGACGTCGATGAGTGTGCAGATCTGATGTCGAAGTTGGATCTCGCTATTGAGTCCGACGGACCTCCTGTACATCTTGAATCAGGCCTTCGACTCATTCACTCCTTGAGGTCGCGCATGACCATGTCGAGAGAAGCGCGATACAGCAACCCCGGACCAGGGCGCTCTGCACGGCAACGACGCTCGCCCGTTGTGCGTCTTGAAGACGCCGATCGTGCGACAGTGGACCTTCTGTTCTGGGTCGGTGTCATGTTCGACACGCTATCAGCAGCCATGCACAAGCGACCACTGGTGGTATCGGATGAAGATAGCGATGTAGTCATGAGCGAAAGCATGCAGATTGAGCACTCGGCCCAACAAGCGGCAACACCTTCCTCAACAGACGATGGACTGTGGGACGACTACTTGTTCTCTCGGCAACAGCAGAATCCAGAACATGCGCCCACAAGATGGCCATGCTCATTCGATGAAGCCGCAGCTGCGTTGTGTGACGCAGCCCCGGTCAAGGTGTTGCTGTTCAGAAGAGTCTGTCGGATCCAGACGCTTCTCACAAGAAATGCACGAGGCGCGAAGGTCGAAGAGGCTGTCAGTGCCGCAATGGACGTGTGTAACCACTGGGATGCGCTGTATGCGCCCTTCGTCCGAGACTGCATACAGAACCACGACCGCCTTCCACCACGCGTCCAATCATGGTACGTATGCGTCACCGGACACTGGCACCTTGCGACTCTCCTTCTTGCGGACTTGATGGAAGTGGTAGACGAATCAGAGCTTGGACTTGAGGAAGCCACACATCAACGGAATATTAGTGCCTTCATCGCGAAATTCCGCGAGAACCAATGCCGGGTCCTATCAGACCTAGCGAGCTGTGCATGCCCGCGGGAAGACGCATCATTCGCACAGTCCGAGTTCCATTTCGCAGTCAACGAAGGCGCACTGCTGACGGAGCCATGGACTGTAGTGTTGATTCGCGCGTTCGCCAAGGCAGGCGTACTGTTGCTTGAGTCAGATACTCTGCTGCCGTCAGACCTGGATCGAGAGGATGCTTTTCAACGCGCGGATGCTTGTATTAAGGCGTTGTGGTTTTTGGGTAGAAAATCGGATATGGCCCTTTCGGCGGCGAATATCTTGGGAGAGGCGTTGAAGCTGCGACGCAAAAGTGCGCAAGATCGGGTTAGCGACATGAGCGTGTTTTTGGAGAGTGAGCTGTGGCATGATTTGGAAGGGGCGTTCGAGGTGGACTGTGAACTATAAGCCAGCCACAATGTACTATTTCTGTGACCATGATGCGCAATTTGACAAGATGAAGTGAAAGAGTGAGTACTGAGATGGATCGAGCCTTGCAGGATGCCCAAATGGCGCTTAGACTGAAAAGGCAAATCACGTGCTCTCGCGTCGCGCAATGGAACTTTGGAAGGAGCGATAGTGAGATTGGGCGACGGTCGACCGCGCCACGACTTCTGCTGTCATCTGGATCAGCAAACGATGTCTGATTGAGCCTTACCACATAGCAGATTTGCTTATCGCCTCCTTTAGCAGTGGCTGCCCCAGCCTGCCACATAATCCTCGCCCATCGCGCTAAGACGCGTGCAACGGTCGGCTAGCCGACCTCCCATCTTCCCCACACCCACGTCATGGGCCTTCCAGCGTAGGCCTCCAGACCAATTGGGATTTAAGCTCGTACTGACGCCTGGACAGGTTATGGGACACTATTAAGAAGCACGAAGAAAGCGTACCCGTCGCGCAACTCGCCGAAGAGCATCACCGGCGTCATGGCAGGTCACTCCGCATTGCTGTCGACGAGGCTGATTGGCGCTTCAACAACCTCACGGTGCAGCAAGTTTACACTATACGGGAGAGTAAGTAGTACACGTGTCGTGTCTGCTCTTGCTGACAGGAGCAGCCTCCAACGAGTACGCCTACCAAGGCATCGAGAAAGCCATGTTCTACCGTATCTGCCGCCTCCTCACCCTAAACATTCAGCTCATATTCGTGTTCGATGGCCCCGGTCGACCTTGGAAGCGGGGAAAGCGAGGTGGGCAACGGATAAACTACGAAGAGCAGCGCTTGCTCAAGGAGATGCTTCAATACTTTGGGATCCCATACCACGAGGCCCCGGGGGAAGCAGAGGCAGAATGCGCCCGTCTGCAGATTCTGGGCATGGTTGACGCTGTTTGGTCGCAAGATTCTGACTGTATCATGTTTGGCTGCACCCTCTGGCTACGCGATCACCGTGTCGCGAAAGAAAAGGGCACGACAGACAGGTCCAAGGAGAACACCAAGAAGAATGGGAAATACGCCAGCGTTGTTCGAGCACACGATCTGAAAGAGAAATATGGCCTAGACCGAGAAGGACTTGTGCTCTTTGCCATGCTTGTAGGTGGGGACTACGACGTGAAAGGTCTACCACAGTGTGGGCCGGCTCTAGCCTTGCAGGCAGTCAAGCAAGGACTCGGTCGGCGGCTTTGTGCCTGTCGAGATCAGATGGAGTGCGGCATGTGGACTGTGGAGCTGGCCATGTTCCTGGAGCGGAGTGCTCGCGGGCGCGCTATCGAAATCCCGCCAGCCTTCCCAGACTTCAAGACCTTACAAAAGTACTACAAACCGAAAGTCACCAGCGACACAGATTTACTTAGCAAGTCGCGCCTCAACCTTGACTATCTTCGCCCGATCCAGGAGCTGAAGTTGCTTACACTTACCAGCGAGCGCTTCAACATATGGGGACGTTTATACATGAACTGGATTGGGCCTGTGCTGCTGACACGAAACCTCACCGCAAGAGATCCGTCTCTACCACAAGAACTGGTCCACGGCATCAGGCTCACAAAGCAAAAAGCGAAGAAGACCGACAACGAACTAACCATACGCAGCTTCGAACGTAAGCTGACCTTTTCACCCTTTGGCGTCACTACCCTGAGCAGGGCCGACTTCGAGGGCGAGCGGTTAGGGTGCTGGAACGGAGACAAGGAGACCCTGTTTGACCCAGAGCATCGTGTCGAATGCGAATATCCCGAGTACTGGCTGCGTAAAGTTCTTCCGCCGGACGTACTGGAACCGCCCCCTGCACCACCAAAGCGTACGCCAAAACGCAAGCGACCAATAGCTGAAGTTGGGGAAGACGGCGAAGCCTCAGGCACAGCTAAGCGAAAACGTACGAACAAAAGAGACGATATATCCGCTGCCCGGGCTACATACAGTGCATCCCCCAGGAAATCCAGAGGACCAGCTGCAAAAGCCAAGTCTCAAGATACGAAAATGACGCCCACAGCACAAAAGATCTTCGATTATATTGCACTCTCGGACTCTGAAGATGAGGGTGGGCTTTCTCTACCAGCCAACGCTCGCTCTCAAGAACCTGCATTGAATCAGCCGACGACATCTCATATCATCGATCTTGGTTCGCCTGAGCCGTCAGATCAGGAGAACGATTCACCCGTTTCGGATCCTTTCCGAAATCCTGTAGCAAACACATTGCCATTCGATATCCCAGATGAAGAAGACGAAGAGCTGCAGTTAGCTTTGCGGCTAAGCATGCAAGATCAAGGCGCCAAGATACCCCCAATACAAAGGCCTTCCACTTTACCGTCTTCACATCGTGGCAGATACGAAAGCATCTTCGCAATGAGAGAAGCCGGCAGAGATGTACACGGGGCCTCTGTACCTGCTTGGTCGCTGGATGAAGCACTGAGCGCGGCCGTGCCCTCCAGAGCTTCTCAAAATCCCCGACGAGTGGAGAATGAATCGCGCATATCAAGCATGCCAATGAGGGGTGTTCACGCAGGTCTTATAGGAAGGGAACCAGTCGACCTACCTGACTGGTCGCGCCCTCCCCCGCGCGCTAATCTATTACCAGTGTCTGCAACGCTACCTTCGAATCCAAATACAGAAGATCAAGTTACACCATCTCCTGCACCTACCGCAGCTGAGATACGCGCTGCTCGGCTTCGACACTTCGCAACGACGCCTCCCGACCCTGCCAAGGACGCAAACGAGCCACGTACTTCTTCGTTTGCTGTCATGCCAAACAAACAACCAACAAGTACTTATAAGGTACCAGTGGGGGTTGAGTGTATTGATCTGACGGATGACTGAGCAGCAGATTTGTCTCCACTCATCATTCACATGTTATATACCAAGTACACCCACTGTTACCACTGTTATACGAGCTATACACGAATAAGTGAAAGCTGTGTCGGTTGAATGCTTACATGCATAGCATCACACATCGCCTGGGCTAAACAGCTCGAAGGTGAATGGCTGTGGCTACTGGACTCCTTCTGCGATCATTCAATGCAACCAGGAATTCTCCTGTTCGTTGGTGGCAACGCAGAGCCATGGAGGATAAATGGGCTACCCAGTAGTCTAAATGCGTTTATACAACTATAGACCTCAACCGAACATGGACTCATCATCTGCCACATACCAAGACGTTGTTGACCGCGTACTCGCCGTCTCTACACCCACGGAAGCACCACGGGATGAGCCGACGTGCTTTGTCTGTGGTCGAGAATATGGAAGCATCGGTGCAGGCGTCGAGACACACCTGGACTTCCTCAGCCAACTACCGGGAGCATACAGGAAGACCTTCCTCGAACAAACTGTCGAACCAATCCGGACACCATGTGGACATGTCTTCTGCCTTTCTTGTCTGAGTGTGTGGTTCAAAAGAAAGCGAAGATGTCTTTGCCCCATGTGTCGCGAGCCGATTGAGATTCCCTTCCTCTATGAACTAGAAAACACAGACGACGGTCGACGCGATGTCGGCATCCAGGGCCTCTCCCTATCCCTGCATATACCAACATCTCTGGCAAAGGAGACGTACCGCATCATTAACTTGCAGACTCGAGAACTGCTCACCACTACCGCTCCGATGCCGTTCCAGTGGAATGCAGAAGCCATGATCCACGATTTGCCCATTATGATGATCAACGTGGCTCGTCGCTTCCATTACCAATCGTTGAGAAAGGCGGAAGGGGTGCCTAAAGATCCTACTTATATGAAGCGACATAATCCAATACAACTCGTAGCGACTGAACCTCGGTTCAACGATCTCAAGTCTCTCGGGCGCCCTGACGCACCACTCGCCAAGCACGCAGATGCTTTTGAGATGTACCGGCTCGTATGCGACCGTATCAGGGATCTTGAGGGCACAGTAGGTGACGGCTGCGGTCGATGCGCAAACTGGGAGGCCTTAGCGCAGGCATTGATGTACAGAATCGTTCGACAGAAGATGCCTCAGGCCGACGGAGGTATCAGCCGGATGCGTTGGCGGCACTATGTGTGGTGCGTGATCAAGGCGGTGTTTGTCTGGCAAGCGTACTGCGAGCGCGCACGTAGGTTGATGTGCCTGCGTACACAGCAAGTGAGCGTTGATACTACAAGGACAGAGGAGGGCGTCCGAATGTATCAGGTGGGCTGAGAGGAGTCTGATTATCAAACCATCATCTAGACATGGCGTGAAGCATTTCTCGAAAATCGTTCACATTTCGTCAGTTAATGTGCCATATATGATGTCCGTGATCTCATCATGCTGTATTGAATCCTGTGAATGGAAGTTTGTCCTATCCATTTGCGAATTGTTCACGCCTTAGCCAGAGACACAACGCGAATCTTGGACCCTACGCGAATAAGTTGGTCTTCCACGCTCGTTTCATGTCCACCCTTCTCGCGCAGTGAATCCCAATAAAGCCATCCGTAGTGTTGGGTACGTGATGAACGGTGCCACTTCGTATGGCCTTCATCGGCGATCGCAGTAGGCTGTGAAGCCGTTGCCAAAGTTCCCTGTCGGAGCGGCCTTCAGATGTCGATATCACAGCTCTAGTCAGGACACCAATACCACCTGCCCACTGCCTGTAACTTGTTTCGCAAAGTTGAAGAATGTGTCTTGCCGCCATTTTCAGTGCTTGTCCTTCAGTGTGTAGCCTCCCTTCATCGCGGCAATCCATTCCCAGCAGCACCACTCGCGCCACTACCCCCACTCCCAGAACTCTCACCACTCCCATTCCCCGCTCTAACTCCCATCCTCGCACCGGGCTGCCTGGCCAAAGCCAACCTCAACGGCTCCTCCCTTCCCTGTCCAACAACCCCACCACCACTCGCAACAGCAGTCCCGCTGCCACTCCCGCTTCCGCCTACCATAGGGCCTCTCCTTAGTAGTTCATCAAGACCTAGATCCCGCCATGTCGGCTCCTTCTTTGTCTGTGTCGCTCGCTGGATGCCGAATGCGGCGTGTTGGTCTGGGACGACGTCGTCTTCGTCTTCGGGGTTTACGGGTTGGAGGTGCGGCGGGATGTAGATGTCTTCCGGAGTGAGCTGTGAGGAGGTGAGGTTGGTGAATTGCTCGAGGAGGTCGGCGTGGTGCGACGAGTGCATGTGCAGGTAGGTCGCTGTTGAGTCGCGCGTCTGTGGGGGTTAGTATTGGGTTATTATTAAGAGGGCAGGGTCATCAATTACCATTTCGGGGTAGGACTCTGGTGCCAGAGGTTTGCGAAAGTGTGTGTAGTATCTTCTCCGCTTTGTGGTTGTACTGTTGTATCGCCGTGTTGTTCGTGTTTGTAGACGCGGAATCGCGCCGCGTTAGGACTGAATGGCGCGCTAACCTGATCCGGATGCCTCTGAGGCTTGCGCATATTATGCTTTAACCTCACTCCATCTCAGTGATCTTCTCTACAATGTCATCCATGAAAACCCTTCCATCAGCTGATGTACTGTTTGTTTGAGGCCGAGAGGATGAGTAATGCTTACACGCTCCACTATACACGAAGCCCCTGTGCGACGGATCAGTAACAGCACCATCAAAATGCCGATCGATTCATCAATCGATGGAGGCCATTTACCCCGTCTTGTCGCGGAATACAGAAGGTTTCCTTAACTGCCCGCGTCAAGGATTTCACCAGGCTTCCATTGAGTACCCGGTACCTACGTAGATAGGTAGGTAGTCAAGATCATTCGCCTTTGGAAGCATGCCTCGTCCGAGGCGTCATCATCGGGTCCCCTAACCTTGAATGTAGCGACTCAATGGAGCAATAACACGATTCTGGACGGCGATAGTGATTCACAATGCGCGTTACGGGCAGCGACTCGCCCCGTCTAGTTTGCCGAGGCCTACTGCGTTTTCTCCACCTGATCACAACCTTGGAAACTCCACGCTATAGGGCACACGTCATAAGACTCAAACTGCTCCTGTCGTAAATCGTGTAATTGGCACCCTTTTACTGCAAGACCTTCCCTCGCATCTTCTATTCAAAGTCTTCCTACCTCCAGTTCTGTTGTCAGCATTGCAGAATAGCAGATCTCTATACTAGTGACCGACGTAACCCCGTTCCGCATTCAATCACAATGGCTGAGGGACGCTGCAACTGCGGAGGCATCAAAGTTTCCATGCCTACTATGCCTGAGCAGTCCGCTATTTGCTACTGGTATGTATCACCACTGTAGCCTCTATCGGCATCATACTGACTAGGGAAGCGCCAACTGCCGCCGCGCAGGTGGAAGCATCGGATCAATCGTATATATCCTCGACAGTCCCCAAGTCACAATCAACGATCCGAACAAGTATCTCAAAGACTACCGAGACAACGACACGAAGAGCGGAAACCCGATTACTCGTCAATTCTGCAGCAACTGCGGGTGGTGAGTTGATGGCCCATGGAGCATTGGGGAGTATTCGAGCTAATTAGAGAAAGCCCAATCACGTCTGTACTGGCTGGCGATAAGATTGCGTTGAAGGGTGGACTGTTTGATAAGATTCCTGCTCCAGGGTTCAAGTCTTTTGAGCAGGAGGAACCGAGCTGGATGAAAACTGTCTAGAGCTGGCAGAGGAAGACACGATTGGGAGTTACACATCAACAGCTGATGCTATACGAGCAGAGATAAAACTTGATACTTGGTCCCGAGAAACGTATCATGCTAGACTTCAAGGTCTTCGGCATATACTCAAAACCTGTTTTTCGACTTCAGTTCGTAGCCCATCCAGTGCATCTTCTCTCGATAAGGTTCTTTTGCCTCCGATCTTGTTGTGGCCATCAATGTAATACATCGAGAACCCAGGCCGGTCGACATGCTGCCCTAACACTAGATACACGGTCTGTGGGTCGAACGTCGGGTACTGGTGAGCGCCGACGATGAAACATAGGTTCGCTGCTGAAGCTCAACAAATGGCCCAGACCTTGTGGTAAGAGCAACAAATAAGGGATATGGGAGTCAGCGGAGCGACTTACTAATTAGCTGTTTCTTTTCTAGAGCCGACATGTCTGTTTCGATTTTCATGAGCTCAGTAAGGCGAGCACGGAGCTCTTCGTTTGCTGTAGGGTTGGTCATAATCTCGCTCATCGTCATTTCGGTACAGTGAGCTGGTTTATGGAGAGTGGCGGCTTGGCTGCGTTCTTATATCGAACACGGTTTGCTACTTGACTTAGGTGATGCTAGCAATCTTCCATGCTTGCCGCACGTCCAAGTATGTCAGATGTTGTGTCCAGGAACGAGGACTACGTCTTGTTTCTCATACAAGAACGTGTTTGCTACGTATGTCAAAAGGCGTTTTCTGAAGCTAAAAATTGCCATGTGCTCGATGGCAGTCCGACACATTACTCGGTATGACAGATCCTCCGTGGCATCGTCTCTGGCATTCGGTTGGCCGGCCCAAGCCAGGACCACACTGTTGGAGCGCGACCCGCATTACACAAGTATCGCATTAGCTGAGAAGCGGGTATCAAAACACCACGAATGCCATACGATAGAGTCGTGGTCCGTCGATTGAGGATGTCGGTTAGGTAGAGTGGGAAGGCGCGATGTTCTCACAGCTCACGTGCGCCATTCAACCGACTCTCCCGGCGCTGAAGCTAGCCCTCCCCACATCATCCACTCTGCCGGATCATCTATCTCATCAAACGACGGTAACAGCCCCAAACCTCACTGGCCTCATGCATTCCCAAGACAATCTAGATGCAGGCGCAACGCAACTGCCAAGCAGCCAGCACGTTTCAGCAACAGGGGTTTCGGAGATCATTACTCGTGATTACTCGTGAAACGTGGCTTCCTATCTCGCGCGATTAATTCTTCCGACGTAGAAGATGTTGACGTCTGGCTTCTTTGATCTTTCTTTTCTTTTCGGCGTCATTCAGGAAAGATAGTTAAGAGAGTAAAGAGCTTGGAAGATGGTCACAGCAACATGGCCGCGGCGACGGCATCTACCCAGTTATTTCGCTGTCTCCACAGCACTTCTATGCGCATCGGCTGCCAGAGCGGAACTTTTCTACACTGCACGCAGTCCCGTTATCCAGGATGGCCTTATCAACAAGCCTGCAACAGTTTGCCCAGTGGCTCAGGATGGCTACACTTCCGATACCTTTCCATGGACGCATCACCCTACATGCGTAGACGTCATGCTACCGGGTGAAGCGAACGAGAACGCGAGATCAGGTGCTCATCAAACATTCTGCGCGTACACTAATGTTGACTACAACAACGGTCGCGGAATCAGCTTTGTTGTAAGTCCCGAAGTCGCGGCTAGTGTGACGATGGAGACATTTGGGGTGAGCATTGGGGGCATGGAAGGCCAAGTGGGAGAAGAGATGGGTATGTGGGAGGTAAAATACGCGGGAGAGAAGGGCAAAGGGTTGTTTGCAAAGAAAGATATCGCCGGAATCTTTCCAGGCGAGAGCTTGATTGTGCAGACTCCTGTGCTGTTCGTCGCTAAACAGATACTGGAAATACCGGATATGCCGAGGCCACAGCTCGTTTTGAAGCAGGCAGTCGATCAGTTGCCGACAAAAACTAGAGAGATGGTCAAGAAATTGGACGTCAATGTGGATGGCACTGTCGAGGACATTGTCACGACGAACGGCGTTGCTGTGAAATGGCCATGGGTTGATGAGCTGCCCCAGCTTTTGGCAGTTATTCCCGAGGCTGCAGTAAGTTATGACCGACAGACTTTCAATTGAATACATGCTAACTTCAATATAGCGTATCAACCACGCTTGTCGACCAAACACTCTATGGCGTTTCGACGACTACACCCTCTCATTTGAAGTCTTCGCTCTCAGAGACATCAAGCCCGGAGAAGAGATTACGCGAAGCTGTAAGTGACTACCCGCCGAAGAATTCAACGGAAGGACGTCTCTAATCACTCCGTAGATGGCTTCGAAAAACGTGCTCGCCGACGTCGCGTGAAGTCTATAGAAGCGAACTTCGGTTTCACCTGCGCCTGCCCTCTTTGCACCGCAGACGACGACGCAACAATGGCATCCAACGACCGCCTCTCAGAGATCAAAGCCCTGAAATCCGTTCTACCCACCGATCCGGAAGATTCACCGCAGCTTCTCGGCCTTCTCCCCAAACTCATTGAGCATCTGGAAGAGGAAGGTCTCCTAACCGAACTACCCCAATACGAAGAGATCTTAGCGTACACGTGGAGTAGCTTTGGAATTGAGGATCGGGCGAAGTACTGGGCGGGAAGGGCGCAGAAACATTGGGCTGTTGTAGCGGGTAAAGAGAGTTGGGAGCAGAGGAGGTGTGGGGAGTTGGAGGCGAATGTTAGGGGTCATCAGACTTGGATGACGTGGAAGGGTGATCCTTGGGAGGGTGTTGGTGAGGGGCATCCGTGGGATGAGAAGGAGGGCGATGGACATGATCATGATCATGAGCGTGGACATGAACATTAGGTGGTATCAATCCTGTACCGTAAAAAGAAGAAATGGTTTCGAAGGGAAATACGGGGTATTGGTAGCGCTTCACGTACTGCTTTGTATCTCTAACGCATTCATCATTTGCATCGCACAAGAACAACTTTATCGTAAACAACTCGAATCTACCATTGTCTTACTCAAAGAACTTCCCATCTCCATGTACACGATCTAGTTTCCAAACAAGCGTCTCGATTTCCGTCTCGCCCCAACCATCCTCTTCAGCAGCCTTGCTCACACCATCATTCAGCGCCTTCACAAAGGTTTCGTCAGGTACACCCGCAAACTCATGCATAGCCATCCACGTCGACGGTTCGGGATGCGGTTCATCTGTCGTCGGCAAGCCCTTCAGAGCACGAGACTGCGCATTCGTCCTCGCGTAGAGGAGTTTGAAGCGTAGTGTGCGCATGTACTGCGGTGACTTCTCAAGCATAGAAATTTGCTGGAGCAGTGACATCAGTATTGAGCCCACATGAAACTGCTCACTGGGTGTTTTACAGGGGAAACATACCTTTTGGAAGAACGCAGTGACTTGTTCTTCTGCGGGCTGCTTCTCAGGTCGGATACCCGATGAGATCACATACTTCGGCCGACCTCCTTCGCCCTCCTCTCTCTTCGGTGTCTTACCCACGATACCCAGGTAACTAACATCCATATCCGCCAAATCATAAATCACACCACTACCGGGTAGCGCACTACTCTTGAACCCTATTTTCTTGAACTCGTCACCTAGCGTAAAAGCCAAATCTTCCATGGGGTAACATGCTAGGAACGGCTTCGTATTTTGCTCGTTGCCAATAGGTGAGGACTTGTGGATATCAATGAAGCGGAAAGCAGAGTCGACGCCGGATGTAGAGACTACTTCGGGAATGTGCTCGTTGTCGTACCAGGTGAGAAAGGTGGGCTCGGAGAGTATGTCGTGGACGGAGGGGGAGATGCGAGAGCGGACGAAGAGGATGCCGGGGCCTTGGATTGCGGATGTGGACATGGTGTTGTGTCTTTGAGGTGTCGAAGCTGAGAATTTGAGCTGTAGGATGAAAGTGAAGACAATACGATGCGAAAAGAACTGTTGGACTTTGGTGGGAGGAGTTATGTCTTGCAACGCCATCTCTAGTGCTGGAGACAACTGAACGCAATGCAGGATTGGAGTATCGGGTATACATTGCCGAAGTATGGCTAACCGATACCCCGCCTGTGTCTCTTCGCTGATATTTGGTGTGATTCCGGTTGATGGCGAATCGTGATCGATTCTCTTCCAAGGTCTGTAGGGATAGTCTCTATACAGCCAACATGGCTGGATCGTGGGTGTTGTTGTATGCATAGCTCAGCAGCTCTGATGCCGAGGTATATCACAGCTTTGATTTCTCCGCCAGCAGCTTTTCTAGACCAGTCTTGAGCTGGTCACTCATGCCATCCTTTCCAGGCCGGCGACTGTCGCGGTCGACGAAAACGTGGATGAACTCGCCGACGGCCTTGACATCGTCTTGACCCCTTTCGAAGACGCCGATCTCGTACGTGACGGAGCTCTTCCCAAGCTTGTTGACTCGTAACGCTAGGTCTACGACGGAGGGGAACTCGACAGGGGCGAGGTAATCACAGTGCGAATGTACGACGAGGCCGATCTGTGGAGAGGTAGGCGGGTGCAGTGAGCAGTGCTGGATGAGGTATGTATTGACTACGGAGTCAAACCTGCTCATAATTAGTAAGCGTCGCTTGTAGGAGTGAAGAGACATACAGATAGTAATAGACGCTGTTGTTCATGTGGTGGTACATGTCATTGTCGCTCCTTCCTACTGTCAGTACCGACAAGGGCCTCGCGCGAGAAAACGCACCATCTTGTCCTGTATTCGAGTTGAAACTTGTAGTCGCCCCGTGTACGCGACTTCAATGCCTGCTGTGCCATGTTGTCTCTGCTTGTGGTTGGTGTTGGAGGCAGACGCGTCTCGGACATAAAGATGGCCGGCTAGTTGGCTGCGTCACCCATCAGCCTCGGCTTGCGCAGCATGGATTTCTCCCACACGCACCTCAACCCCTCTCCCCCGCGATTCTGGCGCCCTCTCCGCGCATCCTCGCATATCTCGCCTCCAAGGGCCGCCTGTCTGTGCCCAAGACTCGCACAGGCTCTCCCTCCATGGCCCTAGTGCCCTCGCCCCCGCGCGACAAATACCCGCCCCTGCCCGACGACAAATTTCCCTGGAAGGAGCCCCCCGCCGTCGCAATCACGCCCTGCGATCCCTGGCCGCGCCCATACTACCTCGAAGATGGCCTGCGCAAGGTCACGCCCTACCACTTCACATACAACACCTTCTGCAAGGAGAGATGGCGGGGCAGAGAAATTCTCGACATCTTCGCTAGCGAGTTCCGCGACCGCCCAGCCGAGTACTACAAGCAGGCCATAGAAGAGGGTCGCGTAGTTATCAATGGCCAGCCAGTGCCGAGCACGAAGACGATAGTCAAGAACGGCGATGTCATATCCCACACCCTCCACCGCCACGAGCCTCCGTGCACCGCCCAGCCCATCGGCATTGTCCACGAAGACGACAACATGATCGTCATCAATAAGCCCGCCGGCATGCCCGTACACCCCGCCGGCCGCTACAACTTCAACTCTATCATCGAGATCATGAGGGCCGACCGTGGCTATACCTGGAACCCGTTGCCGTGTAACCGGCTGGACAGGCTCACCAGCGGCATCATGTTCATTGGCAAGCACAAGCAGGCGGCAGAGGAGCTGAGTGCACAAATCAGAGGGAGGACGGTCAAGAAGGAGTACATCACGCGAGTGGTGGGCGAATTCCCAGAAGGAGAGATCCTCTGCGAGAAGCCTATCCTGCAAATCAGCCCGAAGCTCGGTTTGAACCGCGTGCGCGCAAACGGCAAGGAAGCGAAGACGGTCTTCAAGCGCTTGGCATACTACCCACCCAAAGACGACGGAAATGATGGCGAGAAGCAGGATGGAGAGACAGGCCCCAACGGTCAGCCGTGGAAGAAACTCCGCGGTTACTCCATTGTGCGCTGCATGCCAGTAACAGGCCGCACCCACCAGCTGCGCGTCCACCTCCAGTTCCTCGGCCATCCCATATCGAACGACCCTATATATGCCAACCAGCGCGTGTTCGGCCCCGCCCTCGGCCGCGGACAATCAGAAGACGAAGACGACGAAGACATCATGTCCCGGCTCTCACGCATGGGCAAGGAGGAAGTCGCCGACGCGGTCGCATACCACGACGAAATGGTCGATGCCTACAACAAGAGGAAAGCGGAGCGAATGACTGGGGAGAAATGCAAAGTGTGCGATACAGACCTGTATAGCGACCCGGGTGTGCACGAGTTGGGTATCTACCTGCACGCGCGCAGATACAGGTGTGAGGAAGGCAAGTGGGATTATGAGACTGGCTTGCCTGAATGGGCGTTGCCACCACCTGGATACGAGGGCCCTACAGAAAGCACAGCCGAGTCTGATCCTTTGGCCGTGGATCTCAAGAAGCTGGGGTTGGAGGACGATGAGCCCAACAAGGAGACACCCACAAACGGCACTAAAAATACAAAGTCAGTACCTGTATTGGACGAACCGAGCGTTATCAATGCAACTGCTTGAGCCTTGATGCATTGAAATCTGCTATATACATAAAAAAGTTCGAGCATATAGACGTTTTGAGATACCCACCAATGTATTCTTACTAGGAACATCCTGAAACTTGTCTCCAGTCATGAGAACTCCGCTCCGTACGGGCGCATCTAATCTTCGTCATCGTCATCGCTGTCATCTATTGTATCTCTTTTCTTCCCAGGTATCCTTTGGTTGTGCGTAGTGAGATCTTGATCATCCTCATCCGCATCGGTCTCGTCGCTGTCCTCGGTGTATCCTTCATTCTCATTATCGTCCTCATCTCCGTCCTCATCTTCCTCCTCATCATCCACACTACCCGTCCGAGGCGTCCCCTCCCTCTCCCTCAACTGCGCTTTCAACCCGTCCAAGATTATACCAAGCCTTGCTTTCAGATCTGGATTCCAAACCTTACTTATCTGGCCGTCCATCTCTTGGATCTTGTTCCTCAACTCTTCCGCTACCTTATCTTCCTCGTCATCTTCTTCGTCATTATCGTCGCCAGAAGCCCCAGGGCCTTCTTCGACTTCGATCTTACCGCCGAACGCACCTGCGAAATCGTTGGCGACTTTGCGTTGGGGAATAGCAAAGATGATCTTTTCAATCGTCGGAAATGTCTCAGCACCAGTCGATGGCGACTTATTGTTCTTCTTGCCTCCGGATGAAGGAGCAGAGCTAACACAACCTAAGACCTTCGCAAAAGCCTCCGCAACATCTCTTCCTGGATTGCCGTAGGCCCCAACGCCCCAGGCCCCAAGCACTAACGCCTTAACCCCCTTTTGTTCCGCTATCCTCATTACACCCCTAATTTTGCTCTCTACAATCTCCCTATCTTTCTTGCTTAGCCTTTTCTCGTCCTCTTCTTCCCCTTCTAGTTCAGGAAATCGTAACATCCCCGCACTGATGACGTCGATGTACCAGCGCTCAGTAGGGGGTAGCTCACCGGCGCTATCTCCAAGAGGAAGAGCAGAGCGGAAAACGAGTACATCGTGGGTGTATATGCCGCCGTATTCGGGGAGACGGTAAAAGGTTTCTTTGAGTGAGGGGAGCAGGGTTGTGCGTGCGCAGAGGGATTCTTCGGCGGAAGTGGCGCCTGTTAAGAGACCACCGCCTGGACGGAGGGGAGAGGCCATGTTCAAGATACATGGGTTTGGTTGTTTCTTCGACGTCTGCTTTGGTATTGAGGTCGTGTTGGCATCGTATGATGAGGGGTTGGCGAGCATATGTGCAGCTGTGAGCGCATCCGTCGTTATCATGCGTATGCATCGCAGTTTCCTAGATGCATCGGATGTTGATGTTGCAGCACTATCCAAGTTGAGGTTTGATAATCCTTCGTCGAGAGAATCATTGCGTTTCTTGCCTCTTCCCTTTCCCCTTCCTTTGCCAGCATCTCTCCCCACATCACCATTCCTTGCATCCCCCTCTTCAACATCGTCTTTCCCACCTTTTACCTTCCGCCTCCCTTGACCCTTCCTCTTCACATAGTCCGTATCTTCACCACCCTCAACACGTGCACCAACCCTACTCTTACTATCCTGCCCCACCGTGCCGTTCGGCCCCGGGTTCGGAATAAGCTCACTCCCGTCCGCACCTCGCCTAGCTCTTGCACTTGATGCCAATATTGCAGGAACGACTTTGTTCACCACGTGCCGTGCTTGTTTGGCTCGGATATCTTTGCGCACGGCGGGTGGCGCAAGACCCTGGGATTTTTCGGTGCGGCCCATGACCGCGGGATTGCGCGTATCTCTAGTTTTCTGGTTATGGGTGTGGAAACCTTCGTAACAGAAGGAGGCGACGTGACCAAAAATCCGAGAGGGTCTTGCTCAAGTCGTTGCTGCTATTCGCGAGTACTATGTTGGTTGGTCTGGTCGTCGCTGGTTGGTTGAGACTACGACGTTTTTGGGCGGGTCTGGAGCTAGTGGAGCTAATGCCCTTCGCTCGTCGAGCTGCTCCCTCCTTGCTTTCTGCATGCACCACGATCTTCAGGCCCTGGTCAGGCGTCGGTGAATGTGTTGCGCATGTGCTCCTTTCCATTGCTCAGATCACACCCCAAGCGTGGCCGTGCTACTGACAATCCACTCGTACCATTACATTCCTAGGTCTCGGCTCAGTAGAGTAGGAACTCTTACATAATTGTAACAGATCTGCAGTATCTCAATGACTTTGACTCTCGTCAATCGGATCACGCAGAGCTCGATACGCGTTTGAAGGTTCAGTTGTTGAAGAAAAGATTGCGCGAATATCCACAGCAATGTGCCTAAAGAAGACACGATCTTCTTCCTTCATAGTCAGAATCTGGAACCCAGTTCACGATATGGAGAACAAAGCCGCTTCTGGGCCGTCTTATGTTGATTTACCTCTCAGCCCCCGTTTCTGAGAGG